CCAGGCCACAGAATCTCACCCACCCCTCCTAGAATAATCCTCTCACCTATATGTCAGATATTGAAGCCCTCAAATACTTTGAAGACCCCAAGATGCAGAGAATCCTCCAGCTGTGATCTGTACCCCATGCTGCAGAGGAAGGCGAAAAACCTCCAGGGCCTCTGAAGTCCTCTGGTTGGCCCTAAAAGTGTAGCACAAGCAGTGGTATACCACAACATGCAAATGATACAATAAGAGCTCAAGAGACCTTGGCCTGGAGGGGGCAAGACAATATCTGCAGATAAAGGAATAGTCTAGTTCTCGTGTTCTTTCTATACTTGACCTTTCTGTTCTACAAAGGTGCTAGTTGTGATGAGTATGTGAATGTGTTTGTGAACTAGCAACTGGACTCAGTCTTTTCACATAGGCCACTGAGCAGTCAATAGATGGCAATAACATAGAGTTTGTCAGACAGATAATTCACTTTGCTCCAGTGGGTCCAATTCTGAGAGTCAGATTCTGTGCTTTGTTACAGCTGGGTAGTGTCATAGCAAACTGACAGGATTGTAAGGCTGCAGGTATCTGAGGGAGCCCTATACATGTATGCGAGGGCACGTTCATGCTTGTGAAAACATGCTGTATTTTGAAAGGCTGCCATTCGGCACTATGTGCTGTGTGCGAGCAGTATGGTGATGCTGCAACAAGCACTCAAGGATCTATTGCTCACATTTTATTTTGGGAGGTTCACAAACTCAGCATGTTTTTTCTAGTCCTCCTTTTAGTAAACAACCCCTACCAAGGGATTGTGCAATATAGCTTTGATACAGCTTCCTTTGAGATTCTCCAGATCTTAATGAATTCATCAGCAGAAAATGAAAGGTCCAGTTTCTTCTTTGTTTTAAACACAAACTGTATTGCAAGTGCCTGACCTACAGGAATGTGTGAACATTTCAGCATCATAGACCATAGTTACTCCCAGATGTCCTGTAATGACCCTAGTGTATCTTTCTGGGAAACTGTTGGCTAAGGACTTTCACATCCCCAAGCTGGAACTTTCTGTATATGAAATAAGCAGTAGTCATTTGAGGATCACTCTCCAGGCTTACAACATAGTATTTATTACCAGCCGAAGGCAGGGGCGGCAGGTTTGTATAATTTTTGGTGGTGCCCCATTAGCCACACCCCCATTAACCATGCCCTGATCCCCATTAGCCACACATCCTAACCCCCGTTAACCAGGCCTCTGGAGGTAACACGCTTGGGGCAAGATGGACACATGACCAGAAGTAAAAGGTTTGTAAGGCAGTTAAATGTTTTCTTTAGTTCTGTTGCCAGATGTTGCTTCTGAAAACTCTGATCTTCTGTGCAGTAAGTGCTAAGATACCTAAGCACAGAATTATCTTTAATAAAAAAAATAGTTTTGTGGGTTTTTAAATGCTGATTTAGTATGAAATCACCCATTGAAAGCCCCACCTTTTTATTGTAGTACACACTCCAATCTAGCCAGCTTTCTCTTTAGAAACTGCAATCACTCTCATGTTACTAAAACTCTGTCTCTCTTTAGCTTTGCTGTGAAGAAGTTAATTATTTCTCCCTCTGATTTTTAGTCTAAAATGGGATCCTATCCGAAATCGATTGGATACATTTGCTGCTATTGCAAGTGCCTCCAAAGGGGGAAGAATTGGAATTGAGGAGTTTGCTGAGCACTTGAAGCTGCCTGTCTCAGATGTTCTCAAAGAGCTCTTCCTACTCTTTGATAGGGTAAGGATTTATGATACTGCCTGAGGTAAGGTGTCTTTGGAACATTCTCTTAAGAATCATTTTCTCTAAAGATATTTGCAGGCATAAGTCCAGCTCAGTAAAGTAGTGAATTGCTAATCAAAATCCTTTAGATTAGAGAAACAGTGGCTGCCTTTCTACATTGTTTAGCAATACAAGTTTAGGTTAATACCTTGCTTGTAAGACTCCAGTCTTGGAACATAGACTAATAGACTCATAGACTTTAAGTTCAGAAGGGACCATTATGATAATCTAGTCTGACCCCCTGCACAGTCCGGGCCACAGAATCTCACCCACCCCGCCCAGAATAATCCTCTCACCTATATGTCAGATATTGAAGCCCTCAAATACTTTGAAGATCCCAAGATGCAGAGAATCCTCCAGCTGTGATCTGTACCCCATACTGCAGAGGAAGGCGAAAAACCTCCAGGGCCTCTGAAGTCCTCTGGTTGGCCCTAAAAGTGTAGCACAAGCAGTGGTATACCACAACATGCAAATGATACAATAAGAGCTCAAGAGACCTTGGCCTGGAGGGGGCAAGACAATATCTGCAGATAAAGGAATAGTCTAGTTCTCGTGTTCTTTCTATACTTGACCTTTCTGTTCTACAAAGGTGCTAGTTGTGATGAGTATGTGAATGTGTTTGTGAACTAGCAACTGGACTCAGTCTTTTCACATAGGCCACTGAGCAGTCAATAGATGGCAATAACATAGAGTTTGTCAGACAGATAATTCACTTTGCTCCAGTGGGTCCAATTCTGAGAGTCAGATTCTGTGCTTTGTTACAGCTGGGTAGTGTCATAGCAAACTGACAGGATTGTAAGGCTGCAGGTATCTGAGGGAGCCCTATACATGTATGCGAGGGCACGTTCATGCTTGTGAAAACATGCTGTATTTTGAAAGGCTGCCATTCGGCACTATGTGCTGTGTGCAAGCAGTATGGTGGTGCTGCAACAAGCACTCAAGGATCTATTGCTCACATTTTATTTTGGGAGGTTCACAAACTCAGCATGTTTTTTCTAGTCCTCCTTTTAGTAAACAACCCCTACCAAGGGATTGTGCAATATAGCTTTGATACAGCTTCCTTTGAGATTCTCCAGATCTTAATGAATTCATCAGCAGAAAATGAAAGGTCCAGTTTCTTCTTTGTTTTAAACACAAACTGTATTGCAAGTGCCTGACCTACAGGAATGTGTGAACATTTCAGCATCATAGACCATAGTTACTCCCAGATGTCCTGTAATGACCCTAGTGTATCTTTCTGGGAAACTGTTGGCTAAGGACTTTCACATCCCCAAGCTGGAACTTTCTGTATATGAAATAAGCAGTAGTCATTTGAGGATCACTCTCCAGGCTTACAACATAGTATTTATTACCAGCCGAAGGCAGGGGCGGCAGGTTTGTATAATTTTTGGTGGTGCCCCATTAGCCACACCCCCATTAACCATGCCCTGATCCCCATTAGCCACACATCCTAACCCCCGTTAACCAGGCCTCTGGAGGTAACACGCTTGGGGCAAGATGGACACATGACCAGAAGTAAAAGGTTTCATGTCACCCCTCTCGAAGGACTTTTCCCACCATCCTCCTACCAACAGGGGTTAGTTTGGCCCCCACCAGTCCCCCCTCATGTAACTATCCTGCAATTGCATTAACCCAACGTGTGTGACATTAACTCGAAGGCAGAGAGGCCGGGGGAAGTATACCTTATAAGGCTATGTCTACACTCACGGCTTTTTTCCCCAAAAAAAGAGGTTTTTTGGC